ATGTCCCATTCTCTATTTCCCTTTGAGTCACTAAGGGATGAACCAGGTGGGAGAGGAGGAGTCACTTAACACAATCTTTCCCCAGTAGTGGGAAGGTGAGGACCAGACATTTCATTTACTTATAGGTTTCTTTTTCTTTTCTTTTCTTTTTTTATAGCTATTTTCAGATCTAGGTCATTAATGTATGTTTCTCAAGGACAGAGGTTATATCTTCCTTTCTCTAGTCCAGCTTTTCATATCATCTCACCATTTACAAAATCATTCTTTAATGGCTATGGCCATCCCAATCCACTATTTAACTTCCACTCTAATCTGATATCTTATCATTTGCTTTTCCTCACCCAGAAAACTCTTTCTTCTGCCTGTTTGCTAATCTATATCCCTCACAATATTCCAGATTCAGTTAATCTCTGAAAAACTTTCTTCTTCAAATGCTTCTTCATTCAACTGTCATAAATCACCTTGTGCATTATTTTCAACTTAATATGTATGTATGTACTTTCAAGCAACTTTCAAGCAGCTTTATAGGCTTTTTGAGGATGGATATGGTGTTTCTTCCTGTTTGCAAGTAATAGCGGTTTGTTTGCTAGTTGTTGAATATATAACATTTTTGACATGACTCTCAAAACATAAACTGCATGTGAAAACCAAGATATGAAACAACGAAAGCAGAATAGCTCTGGGTGATGGAGTTGAGAAGGGCTAAGCCTTCCCTTCAGCCTTGTCTCTTCCTTAGACTTGGGAAACCTCAAAGATACCCCCCAAAACTGGATAAGCCGAGTTTGAAAACCACTGGTCTAGACTCATTTCTTGCCTAATGCAGGATTTCCTAATTCTATTCCGTGATAGAAGGTCATATGATCCCAAATTAATTGATTCTTGCAGCAGAATTTCATTGCTTAACAAGCAGCCTCACCCATAAAACTGTAAGACTCAAATTGATTCAGTAAGCAAGGGTTTGTGTTTGGTTAGAGATTAGGTTAGATTTCTGTTGATAAATAAGTTAAGAACTAGATTCTTTCATCTCAGCTTCTACTGATTTTAGATGTCTTGGAAATAATGACATTCAAACTGATCCTTCACATGTATTGATGTCATATTTTACTAAGTTGATAAATTGAAAGTATCGAGTCCATTTCGTTTCCTTATTATTGATTGAACTGTCATCATAAACTCTCTCATAGCCTAAACACATACGTCCTCTCAACACTGAAACAATCTAAAAAGAATAAAAAGAAAACAAGCCACAAGGAAAGTAGAGTGGAAAGTAGTCAATATTGTAAAGCTGAAAATGGAAGTGCAAAGTGTAATTGAAAGAAATGAGAGGGCCGGCCCGGTGGCGCACTGCTACAGT